AGGCGGGGCGCGGCGCTTGAACGCCGCCGCGCGCGAGGGAGCCCCGGGACGGGCCGGGCCGGGCCGGGCCGGGCCGGGCCGGGCGCCTGGAGGGGCGGCCCTGCGAAACTGCCCCCCCGGGGGAAGGCAGCCGCGAGGCACTTCCTGCTCCGACGGCGCGCAGGGCGCCGAGTTGCGCCCTTCCCTCCGACCCGGCAGCGCGGGCACCCCACGTCCCCGTCGCGGGCGGGCGGGCGGGCGGGGCCCACGCCGACATGCCCGTTCCCGGCAGCTCCAGAGCCGGGGCGCGGCTCGCCTCGGCGGCCCCGGCCCTGGCGCCTGCTGCAGGTGGCGAGCTTCCTTCGCAGAGGCTGGCTGGGTCCGGGACGTCCGACTCCCGAACTCTTTAGCAAAAGCAAAAAAAGGCGCAAGCCTCCGCTCAAGAGGGCTGAAAAGACGATTTGGCGCACACGCGCTCGATGTGGGGAGGGGTCTTTCGGTATGAAATGCCTCTGAGGCCAGTTCTGCTCCTGGAAAGTGGGGCGGGGAGGAGGCTCCCGGAGGCCTCCCACGCGGAGTTGTCCTTTCCCAGCCTCATCCAGCAACTGCTTTCAGCTGATTAATCCCCTTCCCGCAGAGCTTTCCCAAACCATGGATTTGCTGTCTGTGGAGAAGGCGATGCTTTTCTGGCAGAATAACGCATGTCTGCGACCATGCTCGGTTCAGGCAACTTCCTCAAGCCCAGCCGGGAGAGGCCCTCTAGCCGGGCGGGGGAGGAGCGATCCCACCCAGCATCTCCGGGAAGGGCTGGGGAACGGCTGCTCTTCGGAGCGGTGTGAACTCGGCTAGGTGGACCAGTGGTCAGACTCCTGTAAGGCGGCTCGCTCTATTCCAGATCATTCCTGTTAATACTGATTGACTTTGTCCAGGGCATGTAGGGCTGGAGGACAAGAGATGGAACTGTAGATTTTATAGATGTCAGACATCTTCCATGGGTCTCGGGCCAAATCTCCCCCTCCATGGGAATTCCAGTGGGCTGGACTTCTCTCTCAGACTGCCAAGAAAAAAAATTGTCAATTTTCCTGAAACAAACCACAGGAAAGGGCCCACCCTGTTGGGATGCCCAGCTGTGGTAGGGCTTCTTGGGTGTGAGTCTATCTCCCAACAAGGGGCACATTTCCTCTGCCTTGTTTTGCAGAGAAATGAATGCTTTGTTGTCACAGCAGCAGCAAATTTGGTGGTGGCCATGACAGGAAAGGGCTATCAAAGGCCACAGAAATGCCCAATGGGGGACATGTCTTACCCACATGTTCTTAATTGCTTGAAATTGCATAGTTCACAGTGGGGACATGCAAGCAAGGGGAAAATATTGGGAACAGAGTGTTAGAACAACTTTTCTAAATGCCGCTTAATTCCCACCCCTCACCCCCCCCAAATCTGGGTTTTGAACCCTTTATCTAAACCCTATTTACATATTTCTCAGTTTTTCTGTGCAGCCAGATAATCAGAATCAGAATGTAGTAGAACTGGAAAGGGCCAGAGGGCCATTGAGTCCAACCCCCTACTCAGCGCAGGACCATAAATGCTAGACAATTGGATCATTTTACAAATGGAATCTCGGAATCATAAAATCAGCCTCAGATGTCACCTGCTGCCCATACACAGTGGAACCTCAAACATGTGGAGCGCATCCTGGCTCATCTAGTATCCCCCCTCCACCCACAACTGCACAAACCGTGCATTTTCCAAGGCATAATATTTGTTGTGTTCTGTTGCCTTCCCTTCCCTTGTCTGAAGTCTTTTAAGGTTTTCATTGACTGGCTGATCTAATCTAGACCAGCTGATTATTTCTAGTACAGTATGAATGATGGTTGCTTGCCAACATCAAAGGCCCCTGCTTCTCACTTGATGCTGAAAACTAAATAGCTCCTCTCTCTCCTCCTCTCTCAGTTGTGCTCCACTTCAGCCAGAATGGTGAGACTCCGCTTTTCAAGCACTGCCATCGCAGTTTTTCTTGTGATTCAGTCTGGATTTCTACTCTTTATGTATGCTCAGCATGGTGGCTTCATGATGTCTCAGTCTGTAGAGAAGCCAGCCCAGGCTCACATCCTCATCCTGTCATCGTGGAGGTCAGGGTCCTCCTTTCTGGGGCAGCTCTTCAGCCAGCACCCGGACGTCTTCTACTTGATGGAGCCTGCCTGGCACGTGTGGGCAGCCATGCAGCAAAACAGTGCCAAGGTGCTGCACATGGCCGTGCGGGACCTAGTCCGTTCCGTCTTCAAGTGTGACATGTCTGTCTTTGATGCCTACATGCCTTGGAAGAGGAACCTATCAGATCTGTTTCAGTGGGCAGTGAGCCGGGCATTATGTACAAATCCTGCTTGTGAATACTTCCAGCGCATAGAGATTACAAGTGAAAATGCTTGTAAGACCCTCTGTGGCAAGTACCCCTTCAGCAAAGTGGAGGAGGCCTGCAAGACCTACAGCCACGTAGTCCTGAAGGAGGTCCGGTTCTTTGACCTCAAGGTGCTCTATCCTCTCCTCACTGACCCCTCGCTGAACCTCAAAATCATCCACTTGGTCCGTGACCCCAGGGCTGTGGTGAAGTCCCGGGAACAGTCCGCGAAAGCACTCGCTCGTGACAATGGGATAGTCTTAGGCATGAATGGCACCAAATTGGAAGACAGCCAGTACAAAGTCTTGAAGGAGATTTGTAGAAGCCATGTTCAGATTTATGAAACAGCTACTCTGAAACCTCCAGGTTTTTTAAAAGACCGTTACCTGATGATCCGATTTGAAGATCTTGTACGAGATCCCTTAGCAGAAATAACAGCAATATATAAGTTTGCAGATCTTCAGTTGAGCAACAAACTTGAAAACTGGATCTATAATATCACACATGGACATGGGCCAAGTAGGAAAAAAGAGGCTTTCTTAATTACCTCCCGAGATGCAGTCAATGTCTCCCAGGCATGGAGGAATGTTCTTTCATTTCAGAAAGTCAAGAGAGTGCAAGAAGTTTGTAAAGGTGCCTTAAATATACTTGGCTATCAGCTTGTGGAATCTGAGAAAGAGCAGAAAGATTTGTCAATCGATCTATTCATGTCACTTCGAAGAAACCAATTCAGCTGGGCATCCTTTACTGAAAACTAGTGATGTACCGCACTTTTATTTTATGCTTTTTCATAGTATCTGAAAAAAGATTTACATTTGACTGTTGAATCTAATGCTTCTAGTCATTACTTCTAGTTTGTTACAATTCACAGAAACTGGAAGAAACGGAACCAAAGGTGAATCATACTTGGTAGACCTAACAGGGTGACTCGGTTGCTCTGAGTTGTAGTCCACTGTCACGCAGTCAAAGAATGATGTGGTTTCTACTGGTGTCATTTAATATCAGTGCACAACATTGAGAAAAGGCATTCAGATTCCATGTGCAGGGGAATCTGCCTTCACATGAGAGAAAAATACAAGGATTATAAGTATGGGATTTGTTGCTTGAATTCTTATATGGTTGTTTTAAAACTTCCAGCTAAGTATGTTCTCAAGCAAGACTAAAACATGACTGACATGGAATAATTCCTTACAAGCACAGCTGGCAAGCCTCTCACCTGGACTCCATCTGCCATCAGACCCAGCCTGAACAGCCAGAAGTTGGGAGGGCTACGGGTTCCAAGCCCATTTTATTGCTTTGGTGACCTTCGCTAGTTTGGACCAGAAAGAAAAGCCACATGAACTGGTTGCCGACTGTGAAGAGGAGCTTCTCGTAAAATCAGCCGCGGGTGGGGCTTATCCTGAGCACCACTCTTACACAGCTGGCACCCATGTGTGGGGGAACGTCAGTGCCTGGGGCTGAATGTCTGTTTTGAATGACCCTTATTTTGAAAGTGGAATTTTGTTTTTTAAATCTGCTTAAAAGCTTCCAGAAAAGAAGGGCTGTGCTGAAGTCATGCTTTGCGATAAAAACACAGGGAGAGCTTGTGGAAGACTGTTACACAGAATGCTTTTCTTTCAATATTTTGGAGGAAAAGCCTTCATTAATAGGGGTGTGGGTGTCATTGTAATTTATGGTTTTCCCTCTGGCACTTCAACCCCATTTTCATACACACACACAAATGTGGCTCACAGAAGACAAGACAGCTGATTAACATTACATTATCGATAATGTAATCAGGTGAGCATTTCTACTCAAAATGTGGCAGTTTTCAAGAGGCACTGTAAAAATAGCATCCTCTGTGCACCCCGCAAACTCTGGTGTTTTGGAGCTTCACGCCTCCTGTTCATGTGAGAAAAGGCTCGCTGCCATTGCCAAGCCCTTGCGAGCCGCCTTCCCCAACCTGGTGGAGTTCAAAGGCATTTGAACTACATCTCCCAGAATTCCTATGCAGCTGGGTCACTGGCTGAATTCTGCATGTTGTACTCCAAATGTGTCTGCTAAGCATTCTGCTAAGTTAAGGCTTGCATTTTGACCACAGTATTTTAGGCAGCATTCTTTTCAAAAAGGCCGATCCCCTGATTATGTGGTTGATTAATGGAACTAAAGATGACAGAGGAAGCAAATTTCTCTCCACAGCCTTGTGCCTTCAACTGCCTCTTTCATTGCTAAACTTTGGAGAAAGCTTATCCTGATGCATATGTTTTCCTGACAGATTTGGAAATTCTTCAGCTGTCCCTTGAAGTATTTTCAGTCTCAGAAAGACCATTAGAGCAGTTTATTAAAGGAATATATTCCTGCCAAAACATGATTGTAAAATTAATGCCTGCTTTTGAAAGCTATTCTCACACAGCTTCCAGGAGGAGCTTTTACTTTTACAGCAGTTACCCCCCGTCGCTTGATGTGTACTTATATATTTCCCATGTGATAAGGAAGATGCCTTTTGGATAACCAAGGTCACCGGTCAAACTTTTTCTGCCTAACTTCTGACTGAGACTGAAGTGTTCAAAAGTTATATGGGATTTTGCTTTTTTGTTCATCATGCTCTCTCTCTTGACTTGACCCTTTGCTCCCTTTTCAGTGATTTGCCATTAGCCCAGGAAGAATAAAAAAGCTGTAATCAAAGCTTGACAATACTGAATGGAATTTCTGATAATCAGACATGTTTATAAACATTGCTTATGACTCCGTGTCATGTCATAATGTGGTGCAGTCCATCAGTCAGCTGCTGCGCATCTTTCCCAGGCTCTTGTTAAACTGTATTCCATGACAAGTACAAATGCTTAACATATTGTGCGTCCTGATATATCCACCAGTCCAACTATATATGTTTGTTCATGCATGTTGAAGTATTACGTGAAACTCTCAGGGCCAAAAAGCACTTGCATATCCCCTTCTCTGCCATCAAGCATCCTCTGCAAACAGGAAGACTGAACTGATGTTACTGAGAAGCCCACATGCCCTAAAGGAGCAAGTGGAATAACATTTTGTATTCTTTTTCAAGTTGCATTCTTACAGATTCGACATGTTTTGATTTTCCTTGAGGGTCTTTCTCCCCTTCCGTGGGTTGTCTGCATCCTCCTCCTATTTCAGGCTCCGCCGCCTCCTGCGCCAGCCTCTCCCATTCCTCCCTCATGGGTTCCATCCATCTCTGAGACTCGTCTTGGAGCGAATCGAGCCATTGCTGCTCTACCACAAGAACGCCTTCCTTCTGCAGTGCAGTCTCTGCCTCCATACTCTGCTCCTGGTCTTTTGCCTCCGTTTCCCTCTTCCCAGGACTCAGTGATAGTTGCTGATGCCCCTTTGAGCATCTCCCTTTCTGTGTTAAGTTAGCTTGTTCATTGAAATCTTTCTCTCTGTTTCCTGGCCAGCCCGAGACCCTTGCAAAGCTCCCCTCTCCACACTTTCTTGCTGAGAAACCAGGCTGGCAGGGAGGGCCCCCTTAGCTGTATCTTTGGGAGCTTCTTCAGGAAATTCCAGGCCCCTGGCAGGGCTGGATGATTCTCCACTATCCACCCCACAGAATTGTCCACTTGGGGCTTTCTGTTCTCTTGGCTTTAAAGAGGAAAACTCTCCCTGATTGCTCTTTAAATCGGCAGCCTCTGCCACCCCTTTTGCGGACTCATTCTGTGAGTCTGCGCTAGGGGGAGCCCCTTCGTCAAAGGGTTTTTTTTCCTTTTGGAGAATTTTCAGGGTTCCCCAGATTTTATTTATTTATTTTAAAAACATTTCTATCCTGTCCTTTGCCAAAAAAAAAAAAAAAAAGCCTTGGTACGGCTTACAAAAGGTTAAAATAGCAATATAATAATAATTTAAAAATTCAGTAAAAACACAATATAAAACAACATTTTCAAAACTAAAGAAAAGGAGGAAGGGAAGAAAAAGAAAGAAGGGAAGAAAATGCGACTGTATAAAATCCTTTATTATTAATATGATGGCTAGATACATGGTCTTTACCGGGCGCTGGAAAGAGTAGTGAGCCAGCACCAGGCGGACCTCTCTGGGGAGCGTGTTCAAGTGAATGAGACATTCACACTAGGGAAAGATTTGGCTGAGAGGCAAGGACGTTATTCAGGGAGTAAATGCTTTCCCCCATAGTGCTCTGTTTCCATCTGGTGGACACCATGTGAAGTGCAACCTATGTCGTATAGACATACGAAAATGAAGAGGTGCCGCTCCTTCCCTTTGCACTGGATCCCAGGACGACTTCTGATTTTTTGGCCACGATCTCCTTTCACTGTTCAGGGTCTATTCAAAGTAGAAATTAGATTCTCCAGTCCCTCAAGATCAGTACAAGCAGCACATGGGAAGTGGCTAGAAATGACACAGAGCACGCCTCCATGTGCTCCGCCAAGGCTCGTTTTTGGCAAACGTGCACAACTCGCGCGCACTTTATGCTAGTCTGAGACTGATCCCGCTGCCCGCCTTTTTCCAAGAACCGCGACAGAGAAACGGGCGGGGCCTGGGAGAGCCGGGGCACTTCGTACAACGCCAACATTAGGCTGTACACCTTCGTAGATCTAGATACCTGCCTCTGTGGAGACAGGCCACGACCAAGATGGCTGACGGAGAAAGTCACTTCTCTGGATCGGACACTACCAAAATGGCGGGCCTATAGCACGTCACTACTCCACACCCAGCAGTCGCGCCGCGGCTCGTCACACCCAGCATGGCTGCCTGAAGGCGACGTGAGGCTTCTCTCTGCCCTTTCTGGCGCTCCCGACATGGCCGCCCGAGGAACGGGAAGGAAAGGGGGGCGGCGGGGCGGGAACTCCTCTCCTCCCTCCTGTCCCTGAAGACGGGCAGGCTCCGCTGCCGTCCCCGCTCCCGCTCCTGTTGCGCTTCCCTGGCGTGGGGCTCTGGCCCTCCCTGGAAATCCGCGCAGCGCTGCCGCCTCCAGCGGAGAGGCCCCGGAAAGCCGGGCGGGCCCTGCCGGAGAAGCCCCGCTCTCTCGTGTGCGTGCTAAGCGGCGGGGCTGGGGGCCGCCTTGGATGGGGGGGTCCTCGCTTCCCTGCCCCCCCCCCACCGGGAATCAAACACAAGGCTTGACTTTCGTTACAGAATGTTACAGAATTAATTTCTAGGCATGATTATAGGTGAAAACTTTCCCAGCAAAGACGTCTTCATTGCTTTTGCGCGCTCCTGGCACATCCAGCTCCGTCGTTTGCCTTGGAACTTCGGTGGTGGGTGCTGCGGCTGCGGCTGAGCAAAACGCAGCATGGATAGGAAGATGGTTGTGTTGCACATTTGCAATGAGCCACCGACTGCAGCGGTGATTCTTAGCCTCACTGGCACGTTTTGCAAGGCACATTTCAGTGGGAAAGGGGTCAGAACACCCCACTTCACGTGTTCCAGTGCAACGATCTCCTTTCTGTGTTGCCAGACCACTTGGTGGTGATGAATATAGAGCATAGCTCAGAAAGGACACGAGCAACCCTGCTTTCTTCAGATGGGTTCAGTCCATTCACTTTCAGTCTTGGGCAGAAGATTTCAGCCCGTCTCTGGAAAGGGTTTGCTGTGAGGGAAATACAGTCAACCAAATCAGGGTAGTGGTTAATACTGTCAGGCCTGGCAAGTCCCTGGCTGATCTGGGGGAACAGTGACACTGGCTGAAAAGCCTCTGCTCCCTCATATGTACAAGGAGAGGTAGGCTGGATGGACTCTCTCGGCCCCACCGCTCTGCCCTGTGGATAAGAGCTCTTTCTCCAATGGGAGCACCTTCAGAAGGGGAGACTTTTCAGTGCTAAGCGGCAGAATGCACCAAAGAGTTTTTCCTTCTACAGGAGCGAGGGGGTGAGGGCTAGAGAAGAAGGTGCCGCACTGGACAGGACACTCCCACAGACATCCTTGGGCCCGTGGGGTGGAGGTCCCCCACGAACGACACGCACCAGACCCTGCCGTGAGCGTGAGTTGGCGTGCAGCTAGTGCGTGGGGAGGGCTTTGTGCAGCCGGGGTTGCCCAGTGTGGCTCTACGCTCAGCAAGGGAGGCATCAATGTAGCGCCTGCAGTGCCCTCCTGTGGCCACTGCCGAGAATTGCGGCCTGAAGGCTTTCACTGGAAAGGCAAACATTAACCTGGTCCTTTTTATCCCATGTGGTGGACTTGTCATAAGGGAAAAAACTATTGGGCTAAACTACATAAATGGCTTGAGGAAATGTTACAAAAATCTTTAATATTTAAACCTGAAGTCTTTTTATTAGGCATTGTGTCTGATGATTTTGACAAACAGGCAACCTATTTGATTTACATGTAGTGATTACTGCAGCAAGGATTGTATTTGCCCCACATTGGAGGAGTGAAGAACCACCTTCCGCTGAACTGTATGCTGGATGCTTTGCCATTTCATCAGTCCTTGTTGTAAAGCGCTAGTAACGGGGCAGGGTATAAAGGCTGACTCGTGACACCGGGCCTGTGTTGCCTATTCCACAGGGTGGGCTGCAGCGGGCAACGAAAGGGAAGGGCAGGAAGGCCCCTTCCTCCGGCTAGTGCCCTTTCTTGCCGTGCCGCGTCAGCTCTGTGCCATGTTCTAACTGCGGCACGGCAAGAA